AAGATGCATATACTCCATATATACAAAGATACACACACACACACACTCACACCTATATGCATTGAATCAATTTTTTATGAAAACGAACGAACGAATAATAATAACGATATTTAAAAAAGCACAACGATGCGATTCAACAGGAACCGGATGGAAATGAGAAACATAATTTCACGTAATTTTATACATTCAAGTTTTTGGAAAACTATTATTCAGTTGCATGCCAGTTTTCGAGTGCAAAATCAATTCGAAGTACCCATTTCTTATACGCTCGACAGCATAATTCTGTACGACAACACAATTGCCATGGCAATTACGTGTACATTTTGATCGTGTATTCAAACGGCGATAACTAATTGACAGCACACAACAAAACGACTTCTTTTTCCTCAATATATATCTGTTACGATGGAAGTATAACTTATTAAATTGGCACGTTTCTTCAAAATTCAACGTTGCGCGTTAAAAGAAAATAATCTTGAAATTGGAGAATGAGAAATTCGCGCATCTAGTTTTTAAATAAATAAAAAAGCGATTGTTCGCAGAACTATATATTAACATGTTACATGCTTCTTATTTTATACACAACTAAATAGCCATGCTGCATCGCTATCTCTCTCTCTCTCTCGCTCTGTGTGTGTGTGTGTGTGTGTGTTTGTGTTTAACGTCCACAAACGCATTTGTTCTGTCGCTATGTTCGTACAAAAGCACCGTTGCACACCAAGTAGAAGTTCAAGAAAAATAACACAGCGACGCAGCATGTCGCGTGGCATACCTATTGGATTTTTAAATAAAATGAGAACCATGCTAAGATGTAATTTTGCAAACGACTACAAAAATCATTCCAGTGAAAAACACTGCGTAGGTTGAACACATGAAACGAAAAATATATGGCAAATGATTCATGTGCCTACATAAGAGAGCCTTCAGTACACAAATCAAGAAATTTAAAATAGAAAATTATACAATATGTTATTGAGATTGATAGTACCCTTTTTTGTCCATTGGTACCACCAGTGTAGAATAGCACTGTCGCCTTGTCTATACAAAAGAAAAGAACCTGCAGTACAAATTTAACGCAAATCAAATCACGAACCAAACGAAGAAAAAACACACACACACACACTTTTCTCTTTCATTCGTTTAGTCTACAAAAAATGAATGAATAAAGAAAAGCGATGAAAGAGCGAGATGAAATAAACAAAGGAAGAGAGCTTTTTAGCACACGAAATCACAAAAAGGATATACTAAGTAAGATACTGTGGAAGACGATGGAAAAAGCAGACGACAGCGAAGAGCTCGATGAAATTACATTACGACAACGTTATTTTCAATACAATTTATGAACAACAACAAATATAATCAAGAGAGGAAAAAACGAAAGAAAAATAATGAAATAACTTTTGTGAAATCGAATCGAAGAAGAAAACATGAAACAGCGACTCAACTTCTGCAGCCAACAGCAATACTAGTGCATCAGCGGAGAGCAATTCACTCTTCGACTCTGTTTTTACACTCACTCACTCTCTCTCATACTCTTACACTCTATCATCAGCACCGCTGCGTTGTGGGATCGACTCAAACCTCCGCCATATACGTCGCCAACAAACGATAAACGAAACAAAACAGCATAAATTTGTATAAATAAGTTAAAAGAAGGCGCACAAGTTACTTTTAAATGAAATTCGACCAACATTATAAACTAACGACACGAAAATTCAATTCCACACGATGTTCGTCATCTGTATTTTTCGGGCAATGTGTGTGTGTGTGTGAGAGAGTGCTGTGCATTGTCTACCGCGTGAAAAACAAAAAAAATCACGTGATCAGAATACATCTACTTTCATCGCAGTAAATTTGCAATGCAATGGTAAACAAGAATCATTGCATCGCACTCAATTGTAAAGCATGGCACACAAACTGAGCTGAATCACAACGCACCAATAGCCAAATTTTTGAACAGCAATACACAAAGAGAACAAGAAGCTATATGGAATGTACAAAATAGTGTGCATGAAAGGTTCTTCAGGACAACAACAACAGTATAATCCATGGCATAATGACATTGAAAGAGGGGGAGGGGTACCGAGAGCGAGAAGAAACAAACTAATTGTAGAGACTTATAATCAACGAGGTGAAACACTCGCGTTTTGAGTAGCAACAAATCCGAATGAGATGAAAACCACCAAAGCAGTTACTCTTCGATAAAAAATTAAATGAGATACACAGGAAGAGAATGATCAGCGCAATGAAACATGTACGCATTTTACGGAAATAAATCATAATAGTTTGCTTTGATGGCATTATTTTGAGTTGCTAATATCACTTGTTTATCAATGAGTTGTTTTTAGATGAATTGCAGCATTCGTTTCCATCCGATGATTCGTTTTGCTTGCAAAATGTTTTTTTTTTCTCATCAAGCATACTTCGTGTTCACGAATTATAATAAAAAGTCTTATATCAGTAAAACGAACTTTTTTTGCGCGGTGAATTTTCAAACTTTACTGCAAGTCTATGTATGGCAGTGGCACAATTGAAAGTTAGGGAAACGTTTATAAACATATTTAGTGATGATGTTCTAATTGAATCACCGAATCGATTTTGTCACTAGTATATGTATTGTAGTAGGGGAGTGATTTTTAAAATAAAAGCTCTAGAAGATATTCTCCTACCAAATTAAATTGAAGAGAGAAAAAAGGAATTGAATTGACGAAGGGGGTAATCCGAACCCTGGCCAGAAGCTATGGATACAATTTAAAATTACTGTTGTATTGGTAATTTTTGATAGTAGTATTTTCATTCGCTCAGTTCGACGTCAATTACTTGGTCAAATATTTCAGTTGTCTTAAATTCAATAAATTACCGACTTCATTGGTAGTCATAATGGTAATTTACAATTTCACCACCCAGATGGCGTATTTATCATAACGAAGTCGTTTTGTGTGTGCCTTGTACTCGATGTTTGCATGTGTGTGTGTAAAAGTATAAGAAACAGTTTTGAATTATTATAATAAAAATGAGTGCTTTCTTGGTCTATGATGAAGTTTTCGATGGAAAAATGTGTCTGCAGTAATAATGATGTTTTGTGTGCATTTAATGTTTTCCTTTGACATATCTTCATTATATTCATAAAGTGAACAGATGACATTTTCTCATAACATCCATTCACAGATGTGCTGGAAAATATCAGTACACGGTTCTCATAGAGTGCCATTGCCATGATTTTGAATTCACGGTATATATTTTTCAGCTTTCGGAAATTGATACACTAACGATAATGAAGATGTCATCAAATATTCGTTGATTTGATTCATTTCCATGATGTATATGAATTTCAGGGCCAAAAGATCCATCTACCACATTTAACTCATTCATAAAAACGCCGAATGAGCAAAAACAAAAAAAAAAACCAGCAACAACACTCGATATCATTGCTTACACACTCAAATAAAGACGGAGCAATAGAGAATGTAATAAGAAAATCATAACAACATAATTAGATGTACTCAATTTGTTTTTGCATGAGTTAAACAAATACCACAAGCAAAGCAACGAAAACAGCAACCCTGTCATACAAATACGTAGTATCATTGTTGATAAAATATATCAGTTTACAAAATTGCTATGTGTTTGCCATGTCATAATTGCACGCTCTCTAAAGGATGTGATTTGTGTTGAAACATTGCCTTCATGCAATGAAACCATGAAAATATAAAAATGAGCACCTATACGAAATACAAGCGACAATTTTCATTTCTTTCCTAACTCGCGTGGTGTTCGACTGTTCGTTCATTGTACGAAACAACAACAGCAGCCGAATGCCACTGTTCGTCGCCCCGTATGAAAAACCGACATCCACCACTTTGGCTTGGTAATTACAAATGCCAATGAGTTAATAATCTAATTTTAAAATCGAAATGTACGAGGCAAAAAGTCAATTTTTGTTATCTCTTAATAACTTTTTAATTAAATTCTTTGACATCCCTTGCAGCTATCGTACGTTCGCGTATAAAACAGTACTGTGACAAATACATAAAATTCTTCAAGCGGCTTCACATACATAGCCCGGCCCGCGCATTACAACAAGTATTACAAGTGCGTCTTCATTTCATGATATAATCAAGCAAACAGACACACTGCAGTCCATGGGCGCACAGAATGAGCTCGATGGCAATATATACGATCGATTAAACCACTTTATCTCGAATGTAATGAGCTCAACAATACGGTAGATATGTGGCATACACATTGTGTGGTATGTATTTGCACATGAATGATGCAAAAACCTCATAACAGACAACTCAAGTGCCACTGGATTTGCAAATTACAATTCCACATGACACATAGATAAAAGGAATATGTCAGTTTGAAACAAAAGAATATTTTGCAATGACAACAAATGTGCGCAAAACAATTTAAGAAAAGATTTTCCTTGATTTTTTTTTGTTACAATTTTAACGGTACGACGTTGTTTATTCAAACAGAAAATGATTAAAAATCGATTTTAGGACTCGATTGGAAAATGGACTCACGACATTTCAACATCAATTTTCTATTACCTTACAACGAAAATGAATGCGTGATGTAAAAGAAAAAAGAAAGAGATTGCCGAAGTTTTCATACTGGAATTCTTCTTTTATACTCGACAGAAAAAAAATATGGGAAATTTTGTTATTGAGATATACTGTGCTGGTGTAGTAGGATATTTTATTTTGCGTCCAAATTTAGACAAATACCGACACAAATGTTATTGCAACAACAACAACAACATTAAACAAACAAAAGCGAAAAAAGAGAAAAAAAATCATACCATGATAAAATCATTGAATGAAATTGTTCGTTTCAAAGAAATATCGTCTCTAAAAGAATCTCACCCCTTTTTTGTGTCAAATAATTTTATCATACACCCAATTTAATTAGTTTTTTTTAATTTCCCGCCATTTTGATCGGCATGAAACCTTAGCCACATTTATTAAAAACCCCCTTCTCTATACTTATTCCAGCACCGACAACCATCTCCCCATCCTCATTATCAGAACGGTGGCTATAAACCATCTACGCAATATCGCCAACCATCACCTGCTGTTGCACCCCAAACCAATTATCCTGGTCAATCTTATCAACAATCACCATCATCAAACTATCCGCAATCGGGATATCAACAACATCAACATCAACATCAACCACCCTATCAACAACAACAATACCAACAACCAGCCTATCAGCAAGGTTATCAAGGTCCAATTTCCGAGAAAAGCCAATATCCTGATCCAACTTATATGTCACAATCCACTCCTAGGTATTTTTTTCGAGTTTAACGTATTTTCTATTCCAAAATCGAATTAAGACATATATTGTCTTGATTCGAAAATGTTTCCAATATTGTTTTGTGTTATACTTCAAAGTAAATCTCCCAAAGTGATTTGTTTTTTTTTTTTTTTTTTTTTTCAAACGCGAATAAATTTCTTTTGCGAGTTAAACGTTAAACGGTGAAAATTTGTTTATTCTCTCATTCCCCAATGCACAGCTATTTACAAACGCAACAAAACATAAAACCACCAAGCTGTACGGCCGCTTTTACTGGTGGAATTTCAGTTGGTAATAAAGCTCAGTCACAAGCTCAATCACAAGCACCAAATTGGTCGCATGTTCAACCATCTCGGCCAGTTCATTCTGGATACGTTCAACCACAATATAATCAACAACAATCATCACAACCATCATTTCATCAAAGCGAATTGTCGACTCCATACGCCGTAAAACAAAATCAATATCAGCCACAACAGGTAGGGTCATGATGGTGTTTGTTTTTATTTTGTATTGTTTTTCTTTACTGCTGGAATTTCAATTAAGCCGAGAGTGAATTTTCTTAAAACTGCGCATTGCTTTTGTCTTCGTCTTGGTTCCATTTACCATCATTAACAAAACGGTGTATATAGTTATTTAAAAATTCATGTAAATGTGAATACAAAACAAAAACACATCAACAATAGCAGTCGAACGTAATAAATGACCGAAACGAAATATGAACGCATTGCATGAGTCAATTGTAAAATGTCTAGAATTTCTCAGAGTATTGATTACTAAGAAAGTGTTGACATTGAGAAATGACTACCGATGATCAAACCACGGGCCAGTTATTGGCATGCAAATACCTTTTCAAAATTATTTGTTTCATTCCATTATGTACATTCATTTTCTCTAGCTATTACTGTACTCAAGGTGTGTCCAAACCATTCTTCGAAGTTATCTGTTTGAACATAAACCTGTGTGGTTGGGTTTCGTTATAAAAAGATAGTCAAAAAAATATTCTTTGAAGGCATCATCAATCGATGTTTCATTTTGTCATCGGATTCCAAATTAAAGTGAAAAGTGGTTTGTAATATAAAATGTTAGTCCAAACACACAAAAAAGGGCAAATCAATCGATCACTAATGATAAACCAGACAAACAAACAACTTTGCTTAATTGATTCTATTGTATTTCAAAACTTATTTAATTATTGAATCTTGTCCCTTATCCCAGTCTTATCAACATCAACAGCAACAACAACAACAACAACAATATCAATATCAACAGCACCAACAATCGGTTCCTGTGCAATCATCGACTCAATACCAAACAAATCAATCGGTGCAGCCGCAACCGCAAAATCAATATCATCCCGAAGATAATTTCTATCGACAACCAAGCCCCGGTGTCATAACGTTGCGCAAAGAGCTTCCTGTTTCTCAACGTCCTCCTCTTATTTACGCATCTGAACCGGCTGCCCATAGCTACGGAGGTAGTACACTTTTTATCTCTCTATTGTTTGATTGAATCAAAGCATTTTTTTTTTTTTGCAAAAAATATCATACGATTATTTCGATCCGTTTGCGGATAATAAAATGTTGTGTGCCAAAAAGCTCGGAGTGACAATGAAATAAGAAACTAAATGAATTTGAAATTATTTGTAGAGCATAATCAATAAGGACACTAGCATTGATAATTGATCTCTACATAGAATACACAAATGCATATATGCATACTATTCGAAATGATTGTGGATATTTGGTGCATGTATTCATTTTGTTCACTTTACCAATCATACATAAAATTCAAACTGACTGAACATCAATTTGCTACCCTCAAAATTCTTCATTCCCTTTTGTTTTATCACATTCACTTTATCCATTCCAATCGCATGCCGTTCTCTTTTGATTTACATACACACTATTATTGTTTATGTTCGTGTACTGTTCCAGATTATTTTATTTTATCAACTATGGTTTTATTTTAATCAAATTTTGAAATGAGTGCGTGTGTGTTTTCTATTTCTTTTTTTCGTGTGAATGATTCAATTGATAAAATCGTCCTCGCCAAAAGTTTTACATTAAAAAACATCGAAAATGTCCCAAACGATTTCCAACTTACTTAGCCCATGTAGCTAACACAAAATCCGTGTAGTACGACTTCTTCATCAAAAATTTATCGTTAGTAATTATAATAGGTAAGTTTTCAGAAATTTTGAAATGAACAATGGTCCAAGAAGCCTTTAATAAAATCTGAGAATTTACCAAATTAACATTTCAAATATTTTTATATCGGTCGAAATAATGAAAACTTCAGTATTTTCAATTTTCCAATGAAATCGTATTCAATAGTCCTCAAAATCAATAATCCCATTTGATCAATATGAATACAGCGTAGAAAATATTTTAAAAATTCTCTTTAATAGTGTATAGTTCATGATTTAGTGATTGTGCTTGATTTAATGTTATTTAGTAGAGAGTTGAACATCAAGCTCTTTATATGAATGGGTAGTCAAATATTTAATATATACCGGAATATTCACAATCCTAATGGCATAATCAGCCATTTTACGTAGCATGTAGGAATTTCAATTTAATACGAGAATATTTTTTGAATTATTTGAATCGGAATCAAGAATTTTTTTTAGAAATAATATTGTTCATTTAGACAATTTGATATTTGATAATCGGTGAACAGATAATTTAAAAAAAATGTATTGAGACGAAAGAAAGACTTTACGCAATGAACACAATCGATGCCTGCTACTCCGAAGTCGAGTGGACTGGTAGCTGGATATTCGATCGGGTAGTGTCTCATTGTAAACGAAATGGTACGAATTTTGTGATAAATTCAGTCTGTGATCAGACGGTGAGTAAATAAATAAATTCCGGTCTATGTCAAATTTCAAAAAATTCGTTTTTTTAATGAAAACATCAAAATACGGAAAATGTTTACCCGAAGTTTGTACACCACCAAAGTATTTCTTATGTATAAAATATATGCAATTGAAACGTGTTATTAAATTTGAAAGATTTCAACTGGGCCGTCGATCTGAGTCACCCGCGGGTGACGAGTCTTCATTTTTCGACCAATTTCCGAATTCGCTGCGTATAGCCAACGCATATAGTCATGTTTTCTAAAACTCAAATCAAACTGATCATCAAGTATCGAGCTACGTACTGTACGTATGTTTTTGCAATATGAACATTTCCTCATTTATTAATATTAGCTTTCTCTCTTTAATTGTTATGAGAAGAAAGGGCAATATCGAAAACCATGCCAATCACATAATTTACGCAGAGACTTAACAGGTTACACAGTAAAAAACATTTAATGAAAAATCTAAGATTCCAAGTAATAGATTCCAATTTGAGACTTTCTGGTGCATTCAGTTTCACTGTAATAAATTCACTAGAGCATTTATTCATCCAAAACAAAAAAAAAATATAAAAATGACGGAAAGCTTCTTCAAACTAAAGACCAAATCATGATTTTCATAATGTAACAACAACTACAATAAGAAGAATAGTAATGTGAAAAGGCAAAACGATCCATACGATAAACTGAAACCGACAGATGAAAAGTTTTGCTTGTTGGAAAACTTTAAATGCATAAACTTATGTGTAGATTTTTGCAATGATTTTATATACATTTCTTTTATTTCTGGTTGTTTGTTGCCTTTTGCTTCGGTTACATAAATATACTACTATCTATTACTATATCTATAACTGTTCTATAGCAAAAGCTAGTCATAAGAAAGGATGTAAGCTTGAACCGAATCATGAAAAAATAACGACAGTTTTAAGCATTTTTTCTCTTTCTCACCAAATGCATGAGTGTTGGATTATTTTCAGTGCGGTCGAATTGTGAAATTGTCTTTTATCCATGAGTATGTTCAGTGTTGATAACACTATATTGGCACTGTGTTCGAAGAAAAGTGAGACAGAAAATGACTGAATGTGGTTAGCTGTAGCTGAGAAAATGGCAAACCCATGGCAACAAATATGAGACGTGTGTTCTTCACTTCTAGAGAGAATGAGACAAAATTTTGAAAAAGCGAAACAGAGAGACAAAGAGCAAAAAGCAAATAAGCTTGATAAAATTCATCTGTCTGAATGGCTTTTCTCAAAATGATCGTCGATGTTTGCCGTAGTTGTCGGTGAGTGTGTGAGTGGTGGGTAAACCAGTAGCATGTTATGATGGAGTGCGACGATAACTAATAACTTGGCATTCCCAATGAAATATCTCTTTTGCAATGGTAAATTTGCATACGTCACACATTCATTCACAAAATTCACATGTTCACATTGTATATGGTGACAAAGGACGAGAAAGGAATCTGCCGTCGTAAATGTCGATGTTGGAATCGAAAAATTGTACATTATTTTATTCCATCTTCATCTTTTGCTACTTTTTAGTTAAGTTCCATTTACTTTGTATCTCATTTTCCCCACTCGCATTCTCACTCTCCCTTTGTAATGCAAATGCAAATCCCAGTGGAAAGTTTCGAATGCAAAACCAAACGAAGATATAGTTATGTTCACACATCCTGACAACATAAAATACTCGGTTTGGTTCGATGCTCTTTCATGGTATTGTCCAATGCTGATGTATGTTGTTTTCTCGTCGTCTCTATTTTGGTTTGTCAGTTGTTTTTGGCTTGACTTTCATTGGCCATTGTCGATGATTTTCTGTTTTCCCTCTTCTTTTTCGTACCAGGTCACTCGTCTTCTTCGATAAGATATATTTTCACTCTCTCGAGCAATATGCATTCACTTATTTTATGTGCCTTTATATTTATGAAACATTATATTTTTATAACTTTTCTATCTTGTATTTGTTTGTTTGTTTGTTGTTTGTTTGTTCGAGTGTATCTTTCTCACTCACTCATTTACTTTTTTGTCCGTTTTCCTGCGAGACATTTTTCCCACTCGGTAATCATTTCTATCACCATATTAGTATTCTGGAACTGTTGACAAGCACGAAAGTAGTTGCAAAACTGTTTGTCATTTGCAGTCACAATTAAAGTTCTCACTTTCACTGCTCAATGTTCAATGCTTTCTATTGTAGCTTTCAATTCATTTGAGTGAGCATGTTAAATGAATGACATGTTTTTCTCACAATTATTGCAAAACATATACCGGATATTTTCGATAGACAAACATATCCAGAGGTAATAATGAGATGAAATGGCACTGCCGTTTCAAATAATAAATATATTAAATTTCACATTTATGGAGGGCATTAATGTTGAATCAGGTTTGCTTTTTGAATTAGATGTCAGCTTGCACAAAAAAATGTTAATCATTGCATGCATACGCATTTACGAGAAAACCAAAAATCGTATAAAAACCCCCTGGCATTTATCGTCGTCATATATCTTGTCGACATATATTCAATGCATATTTTATCAAATGTCACCAATCACATTGATTGACAATTACTAAACAATCACATTCACTCTTAACTCTGTTATGAATTGCGAAAAGATTTTGCTTCTTTTTTTTTCTATTCGGAATTCTATGGTTTTTTTTTTGTTTTTTTTTTTGCATTAAATTTAAATGAATTAATTTAATTGCCGAATTGAAGGTTCGTGGAGCAATTATTTTTTTGTTCGAAATATCGATTGAAAACACCATCATCGATTATAGATATTCATTTGAACTATAGTCACATTATAATTTGATGATGATTTTGTGTATGAAAGTCATTAATGCCTTTTTTTAATTATTTTTCTATCTTTTTTTCTATGTTTTTTTTTATTCGGTTTTCAATTTATATTTGAAATGAATGCCAATATTATGTATTCGGCTCCTGTGTTTAACCAATCTGTGGTAAATCGACGTTAATAATGTAATCGAATACGGATAAATATGTATCGTCATTTACGCGCGCCGTCCAATAATTGTTGCACGTTTTTTTTCCTGCCCTGTTGTTCGGTTTTTGTTTATCAATCGCATTTTATTCGATTTTATCTGGCAAAAACAAATTGTCAAACAAAATATGGTGGTTTTTAAAATATACAATTGAACACACACCCACATACATACATATATGTACATGAACAACAAGGTGGCGGCAACATGCGCGGCGACCAAAAATGGCCACCAGAAGAATACAAGAAACAAAGCGAAATTGACAATGAGCAACGCAGACAATTGGCGTTAGGACCGGCATTTCGACCGCGGCGAGTTAACAAAGTGATTTAATTTTTGAAATATTTTATGTTTGGTTGTGCTTGTTTGTTTGTATGTGCAGTGCACTGTGTTTTTTTGTTCTCTTTCTTGTTTCAGTTTGCTTTATTTTATTGCTTCATTTTTCAAATGGTATTTTTTGAGCAACACAAATGAGGCTGTGTAAAACTTCAATCGAAATTAATTCGGTGTTAATGTTTAATGAATTGCCACTGGAAAAACTTGTTGACTTATACATTTAACATGCGGTTTTATACGATTATAATGTGACACATTCGACGTGTGATGTGATTTTATTTTTATTTAAGCAACCACAAATAAAAATTAACACACATTTTTGTTAAAGCATGATGTATAAATATATATTTTTTTATTCAATTTAGAGCTTTCTCTCTCTCTCTCTCTCTCTCTCTCTGGCTCTCTGATGTGTTTTAAAATGGATTTTAAATTTTTTAAATTAATATTTATGAATATCATATATATGTGCATTTTATTTTCAGGATTACACAGGATTCTTCCAACGTCACGCTTTGAACGCAACTTACCCCGGATATAAAGGTAACTTCAAATATTAATAAATGACTGAATAAATAAATATATAATAATAATGTTATTAGCACCACCACACACTCAATTTTATGGCAAAAATTATCCAGAATATCCACAATATCAATAAACAGGAGCATCAACGACCACATCAATGTTGAATTTTCATTAATTGAAAACAAAAACCCCAATCGAAAAATAGATCATACGAAGGAAGCAGCGCTCTCCTCCCACAAAATGTAGAGAGCATGATGACAGATTTTTTTTTTTTAATTATAATTCGATTTCGTTAAGTTTGTTTGAAAAAGGATTGTTTCAAGTTTGTTTGTTGTACTAATGCATGTTTTTTTTTATTCAAATTTATTATTTCTCTTTACTTTTATGAACGCCTTTGCTACGGGACTATTGCTTATCGCAACTTTTTACTTTTAAAACTTAGAATATTAATGAACATAACACAACAACAACAAAAAAATTTATAAAACGAGAGAAAAAAAAGCGAGATAAAAAAAAGGACGAGTAGAATTTAGTTAATTAAACTTTGGTTTTTTTTGTTGTTGTTTGAGAGTACATCGTATATTTATTTGTAAATTCTATTGAAAGTGACAGTTACAGACGTAGCTTTGGGGAAAATGAGAGAAAAACTTTTTTTAACGCGGACAAATGCTATGGAAGTATATTGTAAAGAAATTTATGCACACAAGAAAAAAATATCTTTCGGCAACTTTGTTTTTCGTCATTTTAAAATGAAAGAATTAATTTGATACTAGTAAAATGAGCCAGTCAACTTTTGAAAAGTAACTCTTGCCCAAAAAAAAAAAGAAATTAAAGGACATGCTGAATCGTTGTTTAGCGGTCAATATATTGGCGATTTCATCACTTTTGGAGAAATTTTTTTTATCGAAAATCTGTCAACTTTTCACCCTTTCGGTTGCTTTGTATATTACAGGATTTGATTACCTTCTAGTGAATGATAACTTAAGAATGAAAAGAAAATGTGATCAATAACGATGTGATTATTAAACATTTTTTCCTTTTTTTCATTGATGAAAATGCGAACATAAAATCTGCTCAATGGCGACTGTATAACTTACGGTCTCCCGCACTTTCAATGCGAAGCACTTAAGAGAATATCGTGCAAACAAGAGGCGTTGATAAAATATGTCAACAAACACAATACACCATAAACATGTAACACACACATTTATTCATGGAAACGAAGATGATGCACGCCCTTACAAATATTAGATAGTGAACAACGTTTTGATTGTGTCACTTTATCATTCATATTCCACGGAAAACATGAAAGGTATTTTCACTTGAGGTGGACGAGCGGTGACAATCGGACGCAATTTTTAATGCGAAGAAACGTGTACATCGTTTTTTTATTGTAACAAGAATACTGAATATTGTATCCATTTTTTTCATTCATTTTATTGTTGTCACTGAAGTTTTTCTGTGCTGTAATATACAACTTACTCGTTTTTAAGATGAAATTGTATGTATTCAAATTGCCATGACACGATAATAATTTTCTATCAGTGATGTAATTTTCAATGAATTTTCCGCTTCGTTTCATGTTCATTTTCATTTCTATTATTTGTGACATTTATTCTTTTGGTTGATTGGTTGCATTTTGACTAGTGTTAAAATTAATTTTTCTTTCAATAATTGAAATTTATAATACTGCTTTCCCTATGTAATTTTTCATTTGTCCAACGATGGAAATTATGCCACTGACCACTGTACACTACTGATTTTCGATTTTAATCGAATATGAACACTCTAAGCAAATGCACACAAACGTGCATGCGATGTGCGGTGGGCCGATGGCGTAACCATCATTATAAATTGTCAGCTTTTTCTCTTTCATCAACACAAATCTATTACTTTGTCGAACAAACAAATAAATTTTCGAAACGAGAACGTACTGATCGAAACCAATATTCAAGAAATACCAAATATGAATAACTCGAAACCATTTTGTTTATTCAATTTGTTAAATTACTAAATAGGAAAAGAATGTTTCTTTACATAAAACTTTCATATTATCATGAATATGGAATACTCTGGGCTAGTGTTAGTATTGCCATTGAAATTCAGCCAGTTAATTTAAAGATCATCACATTGTGTGGTTGAAAATAGATTAACGGGCTGGATTTGACGGGCACCACTGACCCTAGCTGATAGTATTCCCAAATAATGAATGAAAACTCCTAATAACTTTCTTTAACTTATTTACTCGGAGCCAAATTAATCAACAATTGGCCAAATATCCTTTTTAAATCTTCGTTATAAAAAAAAACTTGAAAACCAATTGTTAGCCATTTGAAATAAATGTCGGTTTTATACATTATTTAATAAATAAATCGAAAAAAACCATGTTTCGTCAGTGAAACATTACAATTTGTGTAAAATGAGCCCAAAAAGCATCAATTTCATTAAAAGCAAACAAGAAAATGTACACAAATTGATTGCGAATTAAGAGCTCACGTTTGAATGGCATTGCACACGAAATCGCACGTGAATATCGTGTATGAATTGCATCCATATGCGATGAGCTCAGAAACAAGCCAAACACACACACATGCGCTTGTATATATTACCATTTTGATTTCATGTGTTTATTCAATTGGGAAATATTAATAATAATAATAATCATACAACATAACTTGGAGCCAAAAATGCCAATAATTAACATAAATCGATAGTAAGTGTTCTTTTTTATCGCCGATCAAAATACAAATAAATACAACCATATATACAACATCATCTGGTCAATAAATGATTCGTGAAAAGTACACAATTAACGAATGAAAATGATTAAGTTTGAGCGGTTGGATGGAAAAAAAGAGCAACAACTAATTAAAGGAGAAAAGAAACACACACTCGATTATTTGAATAATACATAATTTTAACAATAATATAGCATATATTGTTTCGCTTATTAATATATTCAATTTTTGGCATACTTTTATTCAATTTAACGTTAGGTGATAAATATTTGTTTGGGTAGAGAGAGACTTTTATCTGTTGTTGTTTATTTGAATTTAAAAATGAACCACAATAAAAAAAAACACACGCAGAGATATATATTTCGAAGCGATATTTATCTGTTACCTTGACACTGAACGGTTGAAATTATACATGTATACATTTATTTGATTTTGATATGTTAATTTGTGTTGTTGTTTTCATACATAATTTTGCAGAAATCAAAAAAATAAAAAAAAATGATGAGAACAAATTAATTACTTTGTGTGAACAAAAAAAAACAAATAACAGTAATGCTAGAACGTTTATATAATAATTTAAATTAGAGTACTATTATACCTAATATAGATATGCGCTTTAAAAATAAATCAATATATTTTCTTATGGTATATTTTGTGTTTGTGTTTTTTTTTTTCACTCGATTTTATTCCCAAAATGGACGCATCACCTTATTTATTTATGTGATGCAACTCAGTCATATTATTTTCATCGTAAATGGATACTCATAAGAGGTTACACCAGAAATTGATTTTCCGTGTTTTTTATTTTACAAAATGTTTCTACTTATCTTGATCGCCTTTCATCCCTTACGAATGAATAGAGTAAAATATTACCTTTTGTATTGGAGCTGGACTGTATGAGTTGCGAGGTAAGTCAAGATATGAAAAAAGAAAATTGTGCATATTTCACAGTGGTAGGTATTTCATTTTTATTCAGTATTTTTTTCTCTATTGCTCATTCCTCACAGGATGCATTCATCCATTCAATTTCTGTTATTATTTGTTTATTTAATTAAATTCTATTCATTTTGTTTGATTTATTATCACAATTATTCGCTAAGTTTACATAAATCTCATTTCTCGTTTACTTTTTAAGTCCATTTAAAATGAAAAATAATAAGCAAAAAAATTAAATTACATTTTATTTACTAATTCGTTTTTTTTGTACCAGCGACAAAAGAATTGCAGGACATTTTTTAGCGCAGCTATTCGAATAGATGATTGAATATTTTTTTTAAATGAAATTATTAATAGATCAATCATAAATTTTCGATTTGAATTAAACATACAATAAAAAAAAAAAAATTGATGTTTTTTTCAAAATAAATTTAATCCTTTTTTTTTGTGATATATTTGCTATTGATTTTTCAATTTTTTGCCACCGATTTTGCCGTCTCTTTCTTTCGTGCTACGGCTAAATTAGCACCATTCACATTGTCACATTCAATCACATAATATTCAAGTCAAATAAAATATTCAATGAAAAATATTAACTGTCGGTAAATGAATTTTGCACCGACTCGGTGTAAACAAAAATGATTTAATTTTAATCGAAACGTCAATCACCGTTATTTGTACAAAGGCCATGGCATGGCCAACGAGGATTTGAAGCGATTTTTTTTTCTTTTGTCATCTTTAAAATGCAGTCAGATTTTCAAAAAAAATGATAAATAATAAATAAATAACATATTTTGATTTAAGTTTTACATTGATTTCATCTACGTTTAGCTATAGTCACAAGAAAAAATTAAATTGAGACATAGCTTTCACTACAACAATATCAGAAAATATTTATGTCTATAAACTAAATTCACTGGCTATGTATGTGTTTTTTCATGAGTTTGTGTGTATGTTATAAGAACGCATTTTATTTCAAAATGCATCTTTTTTTTTTACTCAGTACCAAATTAAGTATTATTCTTCATGACACTTGTGTGGTTCACAAGACAAGACATATATAGAAAATGATTCGATCGAGTTATTTCATTTAAAGGTGTCCATAATTCACTATACATTTACACATACTTGATCAGCACTGCTGCCAGTCATTGTACGAATTCTTTTCATACAAAATCAACCGGACAGCAAAATAATAGCTGGCCGAATTTTTAGTCAATAAGTGACAGCAGAGCTGATTATTACATAGAAATCGTATTTATTTTACGTTCAATTTTGATTTTCTGTTGTTTGTTTTGTTTTTTAATTTGTTGCTGTTTTTCATGTGGTTGCTTAATCAATTGCATTTGGTGTTGGATTTATTTATTTCTTATATAAGAGTCGACAATGTCCATTACAGCATTCTTATGAGTTATCATTGTCCATTTCCACTTCGTTTTTTCCATCGGCGCATTTATCACCAGACACCGATGCTTCTTGACTTCGATCGTCTACCGCTGCTATTTTATCGTCATCATCCTCTTCTTCTTCCTCTTCCATCAACTTTCTGGCCAATTTCATTGCTTCAAATTCATTTGCTGTTGTATGATTTGGACCGACTTCACTACAATTGTAGTGTAATTTGCGTCGTTTTTCAAAGTCTAGCCGACGTTCTATTGAACCGAAGAATATTTTTCGATTAATCATCTAACAATTTTGACACTGATAAAAACAAACAAACAAACAAAATATACTTACGCTTTTCTTCTGGCGTTTCATAGCTGTGTTCGTCATCGTCCGAACTTTCATCAGCATCATCTGTTTCGTCCAACGATTTTCGCGGCTCGGACATTTTTAGCCTAAAATTAAATGTGAAGACAAATAAAGACGTTTATTTATTACGTTGTCAAGTCGGTACCATGCCATATGACATGATATTATTAGGAACTATGAGTAATGGTGCAGCGTCTCAATAGACACACTCATTGCATGCATGTTCGTGCGCATTTCTCTAATATTTATTCAAAATAACTGTATTTTTTTTCCACCACGCCCTTTGTACTTCTTCGGAAAAATAAGCAAACAAAGAAAAACTTAAACGCCTATTCATTGGAGTTTGTCACGCGTTTATATGTACTCGGGCGCAAAAAAATAAACAATTACAAAATTATTACGCATAACAGTTTACCGTTCAGTAAGAACTTCGGCGTCCAGTTGGTCCAAGATTTGGTCGTCTGGATCTGCATAATTGAATGGTGTTTTTGGTTCTTCAACTTTCATGTGGCCATAATCCTTGTCAACTGGATGGTATGTTTGCAATACATTGAGTTCATCGAATTTTGTGCTCTTTCTGCGTCTATTTTTTTTACACCCATGACATCGATTATGCAGGAAAACAAATGAAGCACACACGTACATCCACAAAACGCCAATCATATAGAAGAAATAAACAAGCAAAAGAGAGAAAAAAGAATAAGATCACCTTCATAAATCACATCTTATATGCGAAATTCACCGGAAAAACTAATTCAAGTAGAAAATCATTATAACGAAAAAGACGAAGTAGAAGCGAGAAATAAAAAAAAAGTCGATAAGCTAAAACGGTAGATACTCACTGCGATACAGAATGTTTGTCAAAGCTACTTGATGTTTTCAAAATACCCTTACAAGGTTTCTTTGCCTCTGGTGATCCTTGAACGTTACAATCCATTTTTTCTATGTGGATGTTGTTGTTGTTGCTGCTGCTGCAAACCATCCATGTAAAAGTTAAAGCGAATGTTATATTAATATAAAAGAACGTTTGTGGCACACAAAAATAAAAGAACCATTGATAAAATGTAAAAAAGCTGAATAAAAACAACAACAACATCAAATACGATGTATTACGATGTGCAACGATATTTATAGAATTGCAATACTAATGCTCAAAATTTTCCATCAAATCATACCGTATACTCTTTCTCTATATATATGTATATATGCTTACAAAATGTTGTTAATTGGATGAATAAAATCGAACGATTATCTCTGGTATATTGTTTGCCCTTAATTTTATCGATGAATTTTGAATGTGTTCTTTTTTTTCGTATGCGAATGTTTTCTCTTCGTTTGTTTGTGTATTTGAAGTTCAAAATGATGCGCTTTTTTTCTTTACTATAATAATTCTTTCCAATTAAAAACACATTTTTATGTTTTCTTTTGGCGGTCAAATAAAAACACACACAATTCGACGTTATAATTGATATTTGTGCACAATTTTAGTTTCTTTAAAATGCAAATCTTTTCAGGGATTTCAATAAACCAAAAAATTTTGATTTACACAGTCGTATTATCTCTAGACACGATGTGTACGTTTTTGCATTTGGAAGTCCGCTATTTTTTTTGTTATTTTCCGTTTTCTCCGTAAAAAAAAAGTTTTATGCAATGCACATTCCGTAGCTGTCAAAACGAGACTACACAACACACCTTAACATAGACCAATCATGGCGTCATCTTGATACATCTTTTTTCAATACAAACACACAGTACTACGAAACTGAAAGAAATGTCAAACAACATACATGTTACAGTTGGGTGACTAAATTTTTTTTTTAATTCAAGAGACAAAAAATTCAAATTTTTCTATTTGTTGAAATCCATCGAGGTAATGTTGTGAGATGATTCATTCATTTAAAATGTTTAATTGCTTGTAAATCACCCTAATGTTACAGCCGATAACAACAACAACCCCAACAACGGAAAAAATTGAACACAAAAAAGTGTGTTTTATTGACATTTTTTAAAAAAATATCTTGCTGAAAATAAAAACAATATCTAATTCAAATACAAATATTATACATTTCAAAATAATTTCAATGAAAACGAACGATTGAAATGTGTCGTAGTTGTGTTTGTGTAACGTAAATTTTCGACATTTTATACAACCCTGCGCACGCTTGAATGCTATGTATGATGCCATTTTTCAACTGGTTGAACGCACAAATGTCATTACGAATTTGAAAACTCAACTGAAAAAAACGAATGACTGTCGAACTGAGCGCATCACTTCGATGCAGTGTTTATTGAAAAAAATTGAAATTGTATAAAAAATATTCGATTTTATCATAAAAAACGTGATAAATTTAATGGTTTTATTGGAAATTATTTAAATCATTGCATGAAAAATGAAATCTTCGTAAGTATTAAACAAATTTTTAAAATTGTTTGGAGTGTGTGTGCAATTGAATGCATTGAAATTGATTATATTTTATGTGTATACATTATAGAATGTTTCGAACACCAGCGCGTTCTGTACCAAAGACACCCATGAGTCGACAAAATTCGGCTGAAAGTGTTACTGATCCAGTTCAAGTATATTGTCGTGTTCGTCCGATAAATAATCCAAATGAAGCGTCATGCGTTGAAGTTATTTCGTCAAAAACAGTCAGTTTACGGCCTCCAGAGATGGCTGTCAACTATAAAAGTATGCGCGAAATGCAGTATACATTTCAGCATGTATTTGGTCAGCATTCAACACAACGTGAAGTTTATGAACATGTTGCACAACCATTGGTTGAGGGTTTAATTAAAGGACGGAATGGATTATTGTTCACATACGGTGTGACATCCAGTGGCAAAACATATACAATGACAGGAAATCAAGAGAATCGTGGTGTAATGCCGCGTTGCTTAGAATCATTGTTCAAAACGATATCCGATTATCAAACGAAAAAATTTGTCTTCAAACCAGACCGTTTGAATGGCTTCGAAATTTTGTCCGAAGAAGATGCAATGCTGGAACGTCAAGCCGAATTAAATGCTCGTTTTGGTAAGAATCATCGACGTAAAGATAGTGATCCGGAGATTGCATCGCAAGCATCGGCCGAAACATCAATTTTGGGTGGCATCGATGAGGATAATATGTATGCGGTATTTGTAACGTATGTCGAGGTTTACAACAATTCAGTTTATGATTTGTTGGAAGATGGACCGGCTCAGAAGACATTACAAACGAAAATTATACGTGGCGATGAAAAATCAAATATGTACGTACATGGTGTGACGGAAATTGAGGTGAAAACGGTCAGTGAAGCAATTGAAGCATATCATTTGGGACAAAAACGTAAACGAATTGGTCATACAACGCTCAATGCTGAATCAAGTCGAAGCCATTCAGTGTTTACGATTCGTTTGGTGCAAGCGCCAACCGATAGTCGCGGTGAACAGTTGATTCAAGATCGTCGTAAGATTACAATTAGCCAATTGTCATTGGTCGATTTGGCCGGCAGTGAACGTACAAATCGTACAAATAATACAGGCGTTCGATTGCGCGAAGCCGGCAACATAAATAATTCGTTGATGTCACTTCGTAAATGTCTGGAGACATTACGTGAAAATCAAAATTCAAACGTACAAAAGAAGGTACCGTATCGTGATGCAAAAATCACACATTTATTCAAAAGTTACTTTGATGGCGAAGGTCAAGTTCGTATGGTTGTTTGTATAAATCCACGGCGTGAGGATTTCGACGAAACAACGGTAATATTTATTTTTATTCTTTGTTCGATTAATTTTTTTTGTTTTTTTTCAATTTATTAACATTGTTGTTGTGATTTTTTTTCTTCTAATATTTAGCAAGTGATGAAATTTGCCGAAATGACACAAGAGGTACAAGTGATGAGACAAACACCAATGAAAACTGACATCGGATTTACTCCAGGGCGTCGTAAGGCGAATCAAATATTCAAAATGGCTGTACATAAATTGGAAGAAACGGGACGAACCGATGCAAAGAAACTTGATGTTGATATTGGTTTGGTATATAGTCTTGGGCCCAAGTTTCCCGATTATCGTCTCATCTCACCCGAAACCGATGAAATTATTGTTCAATTGATGCAACACTTGGACCAACGTATTAAAAAACGGTCGACACTATTGGATGATTTTGGTGCTCGGCGTAAGTCTTACATGGATTGAACATAAATTTTGTTTTCTTCATTATTTAAAATGCGATTTTCATTTTTTCATTCGTAGAAAATCAACATCGCATGCATTTGGTACGTACTGAACAAGAGTTGGCTGAACTTCGAAGAGAAAAAATCAGTTTGAATCAGATGTTTGAATTGGAACGTAATCGTACGAAGAATCTAGAGAAGGTTAATGTAGATAAGGAATCAGAGATTCAAACTCTAAAACGAAAATTACATGAACATGAACGAAAAATTGAAGAGCAAAAAACTCAGATTAATCAGAAAGAAAGCCGAATAAAACAAATGGAAATCGAACAACAGCAAATTAAACAGAGATATCAATCGAAATACGCCATCGAGGTGGAGAAAACCAATCAAAAATTAGAAAGAAAATACAAGGATCAAACCGACCAAATGAATGTTAGTTTTAAAATGAATTTAAATTTTTGAATCACATTTTAAAGAAACGATCTTTTTTTCTTTAGATTGAACTTCGCAGTAAAAACCGTAAGATTGGTCAACTTCGTGAAGTGCTTAATGATTGTGAAAATATGAGAAGTGAGCCCGTAGCGTCACAACCAACAAAAGAACGCACCGCAATATCAAATTCCATTGCATCAACTCCAAGATCGGCTAAATTCACCGGCTTGGAAGCGAACACACCACGTACACTTCGGGTAAATATTTAATTTAAATTATAAATGAGTCCGTGTTTTTGTATTTGCAGCACTTTAAATGTTTCACTTCAAATACATTCGAATAGGGTGTTCCGGTTGCAAATATTCGTCATCGTCGCTCACGGTCGACCGACGAACGTTGGCTAGAGCATCGCGCACCACATCCGGTTCCATTGGGAACCATCTTTCAGCCATACTACAAAGCACGTAAATCAATAACAAAATTGACGGATGCCAAGGATTTGACCAATGCAAAATCATCAAAATACTGTTTGGTTGCACAAGGTGCCGATACGGACGGTGAAGTTGAAACTCGCCTGTACAAAGGAAATGTTATACCAACATGTGGTGGCGGTGCACAGGTCGTTTTCAATGACGTCGAATGCTTGAAACAACGATCACCAGTTACATCACCACGTCGGAAGCGTCCCAGTGTTGAAGAGCCAACACCAAGCACAAATCCCGATGAAATCACATCACGTTGTAGCATTGGCATTCAAGGAAAGAAATCAAAGTATTAAAATCATTCCGCACACTTACCAGACACTTCCACTGGCCTATATACGACTTTTTTTCTATCGTAGCACAAGTATTAATCTTTTTTTTTTGAGATAAGATCTGATAAACGAATAAAATGTATTATGCATAGTAAATTAAGCAAAATGTAACATTGAGTAAAGTAGCTTGATGCCGATTGATATGTTGTTTTTATCCGAAATTTTAATAAAATAAATATCAAAAAAAAGAACAAAATTTTTTTAAATATTTTGCATTCCATCAAAAAATCCCCAAAACAGAATACATATATGTCGATAGTGTAGTGTAAAAATATGGTAAAGCAGATTAGCGCACAACGTTTAATGTTCATATCGTGAACTGTCAAATCAGATGTTTCCGCGCTTAAATTCTCTGCGACTTACATTAAACATGCGATATTCAAATTCATACAAAGCGCTTCATCAGTAATTGTTATGACATTGAATCGCTTTTTTGTTTTTGGTTTTAATTTTGAAAACAAAGTTTGTGAATTTTATAATAAATAAGTGAAAAACACCGATAAATTGTTTAGATGCAATTCGAACGATTCGAATATATGCACACGATGAACACTTCGCTTCCAACGTCGCCGCTAGTAAAAAAAGGACTCGATATTTATTTAGAGAATAAAAAGAAGCGCTACTATCTCAAATGGGGAGCGATCAATGTTGTATTTTTGGCAATATTATTATACGATATAAACAACAAATGCCCATTTGCATATTCAAAATGGTATTATTTGGAGTATATTGCTACCGGCTTATCGGCTCTTAGTCTGGTGTACTACTTCATGCGATTTATGTTTTTATGGTTTACATTTGAACCGATCAAAGGTACCCAAGCACAAAAAAAATTGCTACACTTTGATGGAGGTAATTAATATACATAACCATTCTTTTTATCAATCGAACAATCTAAAATCAAAACAAATTTTCGTTGAAACAGATTCATCATTCGTTGTGCAACAACCCGAAAAGTTCGATTCACAAGTACCAGTATCAAGTCCATTGGATACAACTGCAATCATGAACTGGCATTCATCATTTAATGAAGGTTATTTAATTTGAACAATCGAATCATTCAATATACTAAATCTTAGTACATTTCCAACCAATAGGTAATCGCGCAACAACAAATACCATGTGGGGTTTCAATCGTTCACCGGTGCATCAGCAAAATTTTAACAATAGCCCAATTACAAATTACTCATGGCATCGAGCACAAAACAATTTACAAAATTCATCATTTGGCAAAAGTAATATCAGTCCAAATCAATCCAATAACAATTCATTCAATTCGCCATATAAAACCTATACCAAAGATGAAATTATTACCGATGAACATGGTTTGCAAAAGTATTTAAGGTAAATTAAATGTATTTCATCATTGAAATCATATTTAAAAACAAAAAAAATTATGTACATTTCAGAGAAGTGGCAAAGGAGGAAACGAATTCCACGGGTAATTTGAATTTTTCCGATGTTCGTGAGACAGTTGATCGTAATTCAACAAATACACTGTGGAATTATTGGAATAATGCGGCAAATTTACTAAAAACATCAATCTATCAATTGTCACCGACAACCACATCACCGAACAAACAATCATCGGGCAAAGAATTGACCGGAAGTCTTGGTCCTGGTTGTGGTGATTTGGCCGCAATGTCAGATCTATTCAAAACAATTTCAATGCCAAAACTTACAAAATATGTGACAAATTTGCGAATGTGGCTATCAGCCACGATTCTACAGCAATTGGTGAAAGAATTCGATAAAATCGATAATGAATTTGCGATCCGTGGTTTTTCCGACATTAAAATTGGCAGCGTTAGTTTGGAGCGTTTGAAGAAAACGGCTGAAAATCACATGGTGTCATCGTATGTACCGGCATTGTCAACAGTTTTACCATTTTTAGAAATTTCAACCAATCAAGAATATTTGGTGCAACGCATTCGTGAATTGGCCAAAGGTAGCGGCTTGAATATTCACGATTATCGTTCGCAAAATTCATACGACTTAAATTTGGATGAACATGTAACAACTGATGCAGCCGTAAGTCAAAATAAATGAATTAATCTTCAAATTCAAATAAAATATATTCCATTTTTCTATTTAGATTATCTTTCATCTGTTTTGCGCTTATATGGATAGTCAACTGAACCCATTACCACCACCAGGTAATCGCATATTAGATTCGAACATATTTGAAAATATTCGTTACGTTCCGATTCTATAAATATTAGGTGGTCGTCCATTTTTCAATCGTTACGTTGTACTTGGCGATAAGAAATCACTCAAGGAAACTATTGAAGAGGTGAAATCGAAATCAAAATGTGCCATTTTATACACGAACCCAGCCAAACCGAAATTTAATTTCATCAGCGATGACAAAGTCCATCACTGCACTCATGTAAATATTTCAGTATAATCAATGTGAATTATGATCACCAATACTGTAATTCTCTATTTCAGGATCGAAACAATTTGTTTTGTGTTATCATTCATTTTTTGGTCTACATGAAAGAACGAAATGCCGGATTACTGGATGGAGTTAATTTGGGCCGAAGTGGATTAAATATTTTATGTGTCGTTGAAGATAAAGAATAATAATCATCATAATCATTGTAAATCATGTGCATTCGAATGTAGCTAGAATGCCGATTTAAGTTCTCTCTCACAGACACACACTCATCATACAATTGAACGACAATTCATTAGAATAAGAAATAAAACGTTAATTTCAAAAAATGAATAAATAAAAATAGTTTTCGATTTATTTTTAATTGATTTGTTATCGATGCAATTGTTTGGCATGATATGTCACGCGCTTAAAAACGGTTACAATTTGTTTATACCTTCTGCTCTTTTTTTGATGAGCAAAACGTGATAAAAAACAACAACAAATAAATTTGGGCAAGAATATGCAGCATTTATGAGAATTGTGTGCAATCTTCTGAACGAAACTGCTAAAAAATGCATGACTATTCCTCAACAAAATGTTGTGTAGAGTATAAAAAGCGAATATCAGCAATAAAATCGACAAAGCGAATAGCCAATGAGAGACGGTAGAATTTACTTAGCGCAAAAATTCGGAGTAAAGAAATTATAACACCACAAATCGTTGTTGTTTAGTGTATATTTCTCAATACGAACGTTCGTGTGAATGAATAAATGTAAGAAGTAGGTAGAAAATATGCCCGAAAAATACGTGACTTGATTTGTACGAACCGGATTGGTACGTGAAAGAAGAGTCAGACAATATAGCAAGAAAAATCTTTGCGCTCTCAAATACAAGCGTACAGTGTGTGCGTGTATGTATGCACGCCGTTCACAACGTTTACACGTACACGAATATCGTTTACAGTACAGGCCTGTTGAGTGGTTTGGTGTGCGTTTGAATGCGATGTCGTGACAGTCATTTCGTACATGTCATTGGCTGTATTCGGTTAGACATTATCCCAAAAAAAAAGAAATAATAAAACGAAATATAACAAACAATCGCACCAAAATTTCATTCTGTACGACATTTTGAATTGCATATTTTGTATATTGATTGAATTTTTTTAATGGATGTGGGCTAAGAAAAATTTTCAAATTAAAATTAATCATGAATAAAGTGCATAAAATTCGAGACGATTTAACTCAAATGGTAAGCAAATGTGCGGAATCTGTGTGTGTGAATATTTTGACTTTTCGTGTTTGGGGCAGTCCAATAAACGAAAGAAAAAAACGGTGTTCGTTATGCGTGTACGTATTCATATTTTAAGTGAACGCCGAACGAACGAACGGCTCGTAACTGTGAACGCAACACTTCCGATTGTTCATGTTACAAACCAAAACAAAACTCACGAAAAGTACTTTCAAAAGTAAACATTGGTTTTATAACGGGTTCACCTTTTACATTTTAAATATCTGAATTGAAAAATAAAAAACTAACAAAAGAAAATGTTAATTGGAAATTTTAAAATTTTGTTTTTTTTTTCTTCTTTCTATTTTTTAACGCGTTTAGAGTCCAATGGAACGAGAAAAGCATAAAGAAGCTTTGGTGAAAAAATTAATGGACAAAGATCCATCGATTCATTTGGTGAAACCAGAAAAATCATCGAAAAGTTGTGCCTGGGGTGCTGATTGTTTTTCACTTATTTTCAATAATAATGTGAAAGAAAATTATGTTTATTGTCAAATTTGCTCGAATTTGATAACATACAATTCAGTCCATGGTACTGGCAGTTTGCTTCGACATCATTGCTACAAAAAAGTGATGAACATGCAGAAAGAAGAAAAAAACATTGCAAAAACATTGAATTTCAGTGGTACGGCCGGACTAATCGCCGCTTCACCGAAAATTGTGAAGAGAACATCGCGTGGCAATGAGAACAGTCCATTGGGTGATCTTATGATCAATTCAACGGAAACGATAAAATTTCAAATGAAAGGACGCGACAATACAAAACAAAAGAAAGAAATTGAAGAGATGATTGCACAAGGTGATCCATCGATTGATATGCGTGCACCGGAAAATATAAAAAGTGATGTATGGAGCAATGGAAATTTTAAAATTCTCTATCAAAACGGTAAAAAGTTAGATTTCGTGATGTGCCTTTTTTGTCATTCGCTAATAACGTACAAGAGTAAAACGGGAACGGCAAGCCTGCTGCGACATTCGTGCATCAAACGATTGAGCGAGACGATAAAACGTGAACAGTCACCGAATCCAGACGATAACATCCACGAATATGTGACAATACCAATTAGTGAAGAGCATCCGGATGATGTGGATGCAACACAAACGACCAGTGGCGCTGACAATTTATCGTTTGCCAATGAAAATGACACCGATCAAGAGCAGTATTCACCCAATGAATTACCGATGGATTTGAAAGAGGAAGCGCTTCGATTATTCCACATTCTTAATTTGAAAGATATGCACTCACCAAGTTTGGTGGACAACAGTGGTTTTCTAAGTTTTGCCCAGTATTTGATCAATGTGGGTGCCGAATACAAACAAGTTAGCATCGAAGATTTGCTAAAAGATATAAAAGATTCGGCCAATTTTCGTTCAACCGTGTGCGAAAAATCAACACAAGATCTACATAATATGCTGAAACCGAAATTTGATGAACATAAAATTGCCTTATCATGTGATTACTGGCATGATCCAAATCGTCGGCTGAATTTTTTCACATTATATGGTCATTATATCAGCAATGAATTTGGTATTAAAAAAGTCAATTTGCGTACGGAGAGTTTTGCCGAAGAATTTACACAAATCGATTACAAACAATTGGTCACCACGATGCTTGACCATTATTTTGACAATGAAACGGATGTGGAAGCATTTTTATCAAAAACAACGACTGTTGTATTCGACGAAATGTTGGATTCGTTTAAATCATATTCAACAATTAATTGCTCTTGTGCAACATTGAATCGAATCGTTTTTCAATTGATTGACGCATATGGTTTGCGTAAACTGCTACCAAACGATATTTGGATAACAAAAGATTGGTCGAAAGTTTGGGAATATTTGGAAATCGCTGAGGACAGCGATGAATATAAAATGAATATCGATGAATTCAAACGCATATTGGATCCATTTACAAAAGCGGCTAAAAGTTTGAGTTCGGATACAAAGCCCACCATAAATGAAGTCTATATATTTCGAAAGAAAATCGAAGATCATTTTCGAAATACACGATTTTCAAGAGCAAAAATCCGTGACATTGCATTAAATTTGATTCGTGAACAGTTTCCAGTAACAAATTTACATAAAATCGCTGTATTTCTTGATCCACGATTTAAATCGCTGAAATTCATGAGCCACGAGGAGAAAACAAACGTCTTGAATATGGTGAGCAAAATGATTAGTTCGAATGACGAAAATGATGCCAATGTTATTGCATTTGGCGAAGAGAACGATGAAAAGACATCTCACGCATCCGGCACAAACAAATTGAATAGTGCAAGCGGTGGCGGCGGCGGCAGCGGTGGCTCAGGCGATACCACTGACAGTACAAAATATCTTATAGAATATATGGACATAGTTGAAGAGCGTGACGAAACACATGACGAAGTTGAAACATATGTGAATTTGAAATTTAACGATATTTCCGTTGATATTCTGGAATTTTGGGAATCACGTTACGATTTACCACATCTCCGACAATTAGCAAAGGAAATTCTATGTATACCGGCTTCTGGTATCGTTGGCGAAAAGATTTTTTCGGATAAAGCCAATTTATTAGCCAAGCGACGCCTCAACATGGAAATCGATAATGTTAAGCAAATGTTGCATATCCATGAAAATTTTGAAATGTATGCAAAAACATTCGTATTTTGAAAGATTTTGTAAAATTGTAAAAGATTTTAGTATCCTAATAAAGCTGTTTTGATAGAAAAAGAAAACAAGTGTTGTTGTGATTTTGAAAGTTTCAACAAGTTTTTTTTTATTTGATTCATTTTTAACAGTTTGTTGCTGTAAATTTATTTTTTATAATTTTTTTTGTTATTTTAAATTAAATTTTTATACAATATTTTGTTTTGACAATTCTATTCACAATCGTTAGATTTAGGTCTACAAATTAAAGTTGGGTTTGTATTGTTGATGTTTTTTTCTTCTTCTTCGTCATAAATTCTTAACTAAATTTACATTGTGTTGTCGGTACTTTTAGTTTACAAAATTTTATGCTTCTTCCTTTTTCATTATTATTTTTCCAAAATAATAGTGTTAAGTGTAATATCCACGTCATAGGATAAGGAAAAGAAACGAAAACAAAAGATGGGAAAATTTGTTGAAAATATTCGTAGGAAGTTATCGCAATTCCTTTGGGTCTATGGAGAATAATAAAAAATTATAGAGCAACCAGCAAACATGACCAACACAAACGACGAATTTCTTTTAGGTAAAATAAGAGACATAAAAACTAATCCAGTTAAAACATGTTCTTTTTTTGTTATAAATAATGTGAATTTGATAAAAATCTCACTTTCTTTTCATATCTTGGATTTTGCTTTTTTGGCGTTTTTTTTTTTTGTTTATTTGTTTTTAAATCTTAATTGCAATAATTCTTAGAAGGAGCGGCGAGGAGAGGACTTTTGATGATGGTGTGCTGGTGTAAAGAAAAAGTGCATTGTTTTTTGCTTTGCAATCTATCCACGAAACATCCAAAAATGTTGGGAACGGATTGACACTCATTATATATAATATATGCGTGAAATTAAATCACATGCTTTTCATTTTTATCTATATATATGCATATTATGGCTGATATAGTTGGGAAATATTTTTTCAGAAGCAATAATAAAGTGTGTCTTCCATTAATTCCCTATGAATAAACGATGTTTTTTTTATCTAAAAGCCATGTACATTTTCTTTTAAATTGAGTTTGAATATATTGTGTATGTTTATGTTGTGGATTTGTGTGTCTCTTGCTTTTGTGTTTGTTTACTATTAGTTATATAGTTATTGGGTTTTGTTTTAGAAAAGGTCTATTTAATGATCACAATCGGTTTGATTTTCTGAAGTTTACTTTCATCCCATGTACAAATTAAGATTATTATTACTATTATTAATATTTTTTTTACTGTCACATGTTTTTTTGTTCTTAGTTCACTCATGGTCTTATTTTGTCGTATGAACAAATTGTATTTTTTTAAATTTTTTTATCACATTTTTTTTTTAAATCTTTATTTGTTCTGCACATTGAATATCATTTGGATAAAATGATGAGAAGGGTGAAAGTGGTGGAAAAAGGTGTATTTTTTATAGTTTTAATGCAATAATTTTATATATATATATGTGTGTGTGTGCGCGCGCCGTGTGATATATAATTAAATAAAGGCATAAACATTGCCATCGTAAATGAAATAAAACAATAAATATAAATATATTTAAAAAGAAAAAAAATTAGAGAAAAAATGTTAATTTTAAGAAAGAGTAGTGTTTCGTTTGATGACGTTTATGTAATGTTTCAGATTGAAAATGGTCGTATTTTTACACTGTGCCTGTGGTCGACGTTTTATTTCTGTATCAAAGCGAAAGAAACATAAATCCTTGAACTGAATTATGAAATCATTTAATCGAAAATCGAAAATAAAATGATATGAAAAGATATATAGAACGTATATGCAATTGTAATTGTATCACTGCCATACATACTGGCATGCATATGTTGATTTTCAACGGATGTTTACATCAGAAATATTCATCATCATTCGAATATTAATATATAAGAAATGTGCTCGTGCTTGTGTGTGCAACTCTATCAAATAAAAATTCTATAATAAATTTTAATTCGAGTTTTAGTTTTAAGAAGAAATTTATGTTTGCTTCACTACTTGCTAAATTTTTTGTGTTTTTTGTTTTTACAATTCGATTTTTTTTTTAACGCACATACACTCACTATAAACACACAATAAAAAAAAAGAGAAATTGTTAGATTTGCTTTTTTCTTCTCTAAAATTATTGTATTCCAAAAAGGTGAAAAAATAATTAGCGAAAAACATTACATCTAATTGCGAAAAAGATTATTAATATATAAAACGCATTACACACTCAATCCTGAAAGACTAATATTATTATACATACATAAATATTAGCTTTAAGAGACGAATAAATTGTTTTCACATTAGAAATTGTTTTTTTTTTTTGTATTTGCTTCATCATTTTCTTAATATTCTCCATTTTTTTTCAATCTTTTCTGATCAAATTTTATCGTTTTATTCTTTTTTTCAATAATTTGGTTTTTTTCTCACATTTTTTTAAAAAATCCTTTTTAGAATCGCGAATTTTTATTGAACTTTGCCAATATTTCAAGAAAATGTTTTTTATTTATATTTTTTTTTTTTGAACACATTTCCGTAATTTTTTTTTTATTTAATTTTTTTTTTTTTTTCATTTCATTTGTTAGATGATATTATCATTTTACAATTATTCATCTTCAAATTGAAATTATGATATGAAAAATAAGATGTTTTTGTTTCAATTTCTCTCTATTGGGGAAGAGTTCAACATTCGAATGAATAAACGAACGAAACAAAATTGAGTGACACTTGTTATAAATGATAAGTGTTTTAATTAGGTATTGCATGCCATTTTGTATATATTTTGTGTGATTTTATTGCTAGCTGCATTTCTCATTTCGTGCCAAATTGGCACCGCCAATTTGAACCGAACAATCAATTATAACGTACAAGTCATAAAAAGATATCCATATATGTATAGCAAACTAAATAGTTTTGATTCATTTCTCATTCATACAAATAAATTGATTATCATTATTTTTTTCTCTCTCACTTAAATGGTATTTTGTTTCTCTCTGTGTGTAATATGTGTGTGTTTGTCACTAACAATTCTATAAATTGCTTAAAGCATAATTAAGTGGTGGTGATTGTAATTCTGGTTGAAACCTAGAAATCAGAGAGTATTGAGTGTTTATGTAAAAGAAAAAGATTTGCACGCATGAAAAATGTGTCATCTTGTTCGAAAATCACTCGGGATTGTATATGAATTGCTCGCAATGCAAACTTAAATCATCTCTTTTCAATTTAATAGCTGCAATGATGAATGCTATTTCCTTGCTGTAATATAGATGCGGTGTTTGTTTGGCTGTTGATTTTGGTTGGATGGTATGGGTCTAACATTAAATGATTGAAAGAGAAAGCTGTTTGTGTTGTACGGTGCGATGCGATATTTTTGAATCAAAGGTGTAAATATTTAACATTTGCGATTGTTGTTGGCACGGCTGATGACTTTGCATCCGTTTTTATCGCTGCGCTTTTGACGACCACCTTTGCTATTTACTTCGCGCACTTTATTGCCACGTTCCATTGCCGAACGGCACATTTGTTGTCGGTTTTTCTTTTCGTGTGCCTTTTGTGAATGCTTCATTGCAATCACTTGCTTCACCTGTTGTTCGGTCAAATGATTATTTGCATGACTTTCAACACGATTACGACCAATAAATTGCATTGTCTGTCATAAAAAATAAGAAGAAATTGTTGTTTTTTTTTCAAATGCAATACAATTATGAACAATGATGAAATAATGTACTCACTTGGCCTGAATTGCGATCGGAGGCTGGATGAATAGGATGAATAAGTTCCGAAGTATCATCGTCCGTTAAATCAACCACAACCAAACCGTCTCGATCTTCTGCATGCTCTATAACAGTAATTGTTGGTTGCACTGCACTTCGAATGCTGTGATACACCGACATGCTAGATTTTGTGGGGTGAATGGGATGGTTTTGTTATAAAATGATCAAATTACACAAATGAAATGGAAATCTCTACCTTGGATGTTCAATTAACAAATTTTCAAGCGGCGATGTTTCCACATTGATCGGTTCGGTGGATGTGAAACATGGTGGTGGTGTCACGAACCATGACTCATCCATTGAATTCGGTACTGGCGATGATGGCAATGAAGTAAAAGCACCATCTTGAGATCCAACATTTGAATTATTTCGACTGTGCCGTGTACGCACAGAAGTATTATTTTTTATTTCAACGAATGGAATTTCTTCTTCCGAGTCAGTTTGCTGAGGAGTGCAGTCACCATCTAACATTAATTCAATCAAAAATAATTTATGAAATTGACATCATTTTGATTTATATGTGCATATTTATTCATTTTAATTTGCATTTGAACATGAAGCTGATGGAAAATTTACCTCCTTTCTCGACTAATAGCCACTCTTCGTCTTCATCTTCACAGCTAGTTGTTACAAACTTAAAATTATTGATTGCTTCGTCAGATGCACCACTTAATTGTTGACCGTCTTGTGTTATATCCGTTGCATTCCTATAACCATTGCCAAGTATATAAGATGCTAACGAATTGAACATTATACAGACGCCGAGGGTAATTCACAAGTTATTTTAAGCTCTTTTGTATGTTGTATGACTGTTTTTGTTTTAAATCTTGTTGTTTTATTTGCTTTATCTTTCTTTTAAAAATATGAATCGATTCGTTTGACTCTTGATGCAACAAGAAAAGCTCACTTGTTTCGTGGTGTTTTTGTTTATAAAATACAATTTCTTCTTTTTTTTTAATGCAAAAATGTGTTTAGAGCCACAAAATAGATCTGTCAGAGTATTTGTGATGAAATTTATATAATTTTTCTTTTTATCTCCGTGGATACTTTTATACACATCGGCTTTTATTTGTTTAATTTAAATCTTCTTTGGTACTTTATGGAATAGTTGCAAATTTGTGTTCTTCGTTAAAATAAGTTTTCCCCTTTTTCAGATATTGAGATCAATAAATCTTGTTTTTTTTTTTGTTTGTTCACTTATTAAATTAATAAAATTTTTGTTAATGCTACGTGATTTCGTTTTGGGGGTGTTTTTATTTTTTTGTGTTGAAATCCTTAAAGCTGTTCAGTCTTTTAATTTTATTTCTTATGTTTTTTTTCTTATTAAATTGAATTACAATTATCAAATTTGAAACACACACAAGATAATTTTCCTTATACAATTTTCACTTCATACAAGTAAAGGTGTTTTGTTTGTTATAAAATTTGCTGTCGATCAACCGTCAAAATCTGTAAATGGAAAAGAGAAACAGTTGTTTGTTAACTTGAATTTCAAAGAAAAAAATCTGCATCAAAATGAATGTTAACGCAGGCTATCTCAATTTATTGTTTGTCGAATGTCAAAATAATATCAATATATTTGATATTTCAGTGTCATTGTTAATCAAAGTCATACAATGTGCACGGGAATTTGATACATAGCCCATGGTCTAACACGATACGTGGATATACCATATATTTAGATTATTCTATCAATTATATTGTTTTTCATCAACACATATTCACTTGTTATCAAATCTGCAAGCGATTGGTTATTTAACGATTTCTTATATTCTCTCTTTCCGTCTCTCTTTCTCATCGTTTTTTTTGCTTATTCCATTCGTTCGATATCGACATATATTCTTTGTGTATTGTTTGTTTTTATTCAGCTGAGGTCATTTCGATCTCAGCAAATTTCTCCCCTTTAAATATAACTGTGTAATACGACGCTAAAATAACACCGTGCAAAAAACAACAGATATGGAAAATAAGCCATTGTATTGATTTCTTTTAGTCTCTGTTAATCACCTCTCAAAATGTTTATTTATTTTATCGACGAAGGCAACCGTTTCTTTTTTTCGGATTTTTTTTCAGCAGAGTCCTTTAAACTAGATGCTTTCCACTTTCATCAAATAACATTGGAAATTCGTTCAAAATACGGTCTGTACGGTATATGAAAAATTCATGTGATTTCTTTGAATTTTTACGCAATGCGCACTCGCGTGTATACATACATTTAGTTTTCATCCACCGTATTTGAATGTGACCTTTTCTTTTCAGGATATTCAATCAACACTTGGCAATTAATAATAAAATAAATGAAAATCAATTTATAATCAAGTTAAATCAAAGCAAATTATCAATAATATTAATATTATAATAATATTATCATTAGTTGTTATTTAATATATAAAAAAATGAATTATCTTGTAATAAACGTTCAAACGTCAGAATGTGTTGAACAGCTTCGATTTTCACCTCTTCTTTGTCAATGTCACATTTCAATGGGCTTACATCGAATGATTCAATATAACAAGTGGCATGATTTCTTATTCAATTTTATTCTATTTCATCTCACAAAATTTCATTTACATTGAACAATTGCGAGACTACCTTAGCAACTGTTTTTTTTTCGTTGTCAAATATGCCAAAATGTCTGGGATAATTTTCAAATCTAATGAACTCATCCAACTCTTTTTCATTCGAATGAAAACCAAAACAAATATAACATACTTTCGATTGATTGTATTTAACGTTTTATATCAATTGCGCAACTCACTGTTATTAATGCATCAGTTTAAATGTGCGCAATTAAACGGCTAGAGATTCAAATTAGATTGATTATGCATGTACTATTTATATATCTGTTCAACGATGCGACGTATATGTACTTATGCAGTTACGATTGTTTCGAATGCATTTGAATGAGGCCGTTATTGAAACGGAAAATTAGATACATGAGTGTGTAAAAACATCGATGGGTCAGCATTGATCTGGATGATGGCTACGTGCAACTCAAATGTTTAATTGGTGAGAATGAACATAATTTTTTAATGAATTGAATTTATACTGCATCAATTTTTCTGCATATATGAACACATCGATTATCATTCGCTGATTTTTTAGAAGACACTCATACACACCTGAACTCTTTGTTTGAGTTGCGATCATCTGAATATGAGTTTATGTATTTCCGTATAAAATGAAGGAAATGAATAAATTTTGATGACACTTAAAAAAAAAAAAAAAATGACGAAAAATGCTTTTAAAAATGCATGATAAGTTTTAAGATGTGAAAAACGATTTCAAAAATTAACACAATGTTAGAGTGTAATTGGTGAAAAATTGAAATTGACGTCAATGATTATGTACAGGGTAGTACGGTTATTTAATCAATTGTATTAATTTCAATTTGCACAAATTTTCGACAACGATTTTTTTATATCGTATTCCGAAATGGTTGATGAAATAAAACCAAATCGTAATCATTCGTGATATGTCTTGCAAGTTTTTTTCCCGCTACGACGTGAAGGTGAAATCAATTAAGATTGCAATTAATGATGATGCGTGGGTTTTTGGCCAGAGTCGCAACGCTCAATATGGAAGTATAACGTAATCACACATGATGACAAAGAAGTCTATAAAAGCGGTGGATCAATATCCAACCGCTTCTTTTTTTAGACGAGACACCTAGACAGAAATTCTCATTCTAATAACATTTCTATTTTATTTGTATTTTATTTGATATTCAGCGTTAAAACATATATGCAGCTTTTTACGCCATTTCGTTTTGTATGTTCACATTTTTTTTACTCTGTGTGTATAGTTTGATATAATACCCCAAACCGAAACTTGTGAATGAATAGAAAAATCGTTGATTTCATTTATTTTTATACATCGACACAGAGAGAGTGAGTGTAATATATGAATTTGCTCACCATTTTCAAGGTTAATATAGCTTTGCTATATACAAATTTACGACGCAACCGTGATACAAATTCTATGCATGTTTATTTCGTTTCTCTCTCTCTCTCTTTCTGTCTCGATAGAATCAACGAGCGTAGCACAGTGTATGCTGACAAATGCAAATGAATTAAAATTGAAAGAAAATAATAATAAAACACCGAGACACACATAATCATGTATGGCACAAATCCTCGGTGTCATTGTTGATTTAAATATCAAACATCGAATATCATTCGAATAACAATATGCTTCGAAAGAGATAGAAAAAAACTAGAAGATGAACGAAATGTTTTGCAATTATAAAAAAATAGGTACATAAGGTTTTTTTTATTTATTTTTCTTCTATCGTTGTTACTGTAAATAACAACACGAATAACCGAATTACCATTTTTTGAGCATAGTCTTCGGGGTGTTTTATTGATATCTGTTCCGTTTTTTTCTATAATTGATTCTTCTTCAAAATTCAAATGCATAGACGTTTCGAAGTTTTATGTTTTGTTTATTCAGTTGTTGTCGTCAAAACTAATCATACTTTTGAATTGTTCAACATTTTCGTGCAAGGTAGATAACCGTCACCGAAAAAAAAAAAATCTGCTCGAGTTCTGATTTGCAATTTATTGATGAATTTGTTCTTTATTTCGGTACCGGCTACAGAAATAAGAACAAAAAGTCTAACAGGAGGATAAGTTTGCGCTTCGCTTATGACGCGTTACATAATAATTTCCAGCACGAATTACCAAGCATAACGGAAAAAGACCGAGAGAGAGAGAGAGAGAGAGAGAGAGAGATATAAAGGGAGAGAGATGAATTATGTTTCCGAGGGGAGATTGGAATAGTGTATATGTAGTAAAAGTTGCATCTTTGCAATGGCGTAATACAAAGTCATTGTACATACGGCAAAAGAAATGTATAATGCCCATGAATCTTCGGTCAAGGACACAACATCATTGTGATGTGACGTGTTATATTACGCCGTTACTCGCAACGGTTATAACAACAGCAGCAAGAGTTATAACATACACACACAAAGAAAGAAAGAGAAAGAGAGAGAGATTCTCTCTATTTTCTCTCTATCTCGGCATTCTCTTCCTGTCATTCGTTGTTGTTCTTTTCAATGAAAAGTAATAATGATGACATAATCAGATGCGCAGTATTTTGCTTCCGAGAATTTCCTTGGATCCTTTTCAAAAATTTCAAACTTCAAACGCATCATTTCAATATTTTATGTTAAATTAAATATGGTTTTTTTTTTCTCGTTTAATTTTGTTTGAAAAATTAATTGATAAATTTTCCATCAAAATAAAAGTGTTCATGACAGAGTAAGGGGCCACGTCATCATCTGACAGCCAATATAAATTTAGCTAGGACACGAAAAGGCAATTTTCACATGCGTAAAAGAAGCTATAGCGTTTTGGTATTGATGCTGGTGATGTTTGTAATTTGTACGCATATAATGTCATTCATATTGGTTTCGAAGTAAATCTTTGTGAAAGATTGTAGTGTAGAGGAAATAAATCTTGAGGAAGTGTCTTTCATCAAAGACGAACAGAAAAAGTGCGATTGAAATGAAAACAAACAAAGGACAAAGGAGAGAGAGAGGGGGGGAGAGACCGAGAAAGAGAGAGAAAGCGCACAGAGAAAGGAAGAGGTGTATCTACTATCGAAATATCCCGAGAAATATATTTGATTGTTTATATATCGATTAGCCATTTAAGCGAAGAATTTTGAAAATTTCTGCTACTCTCTCTCTCTATCGCATTCTATTATATGAAAATGATGACTGGCAGTTTTCAGGCAGTTAAAAATAAATCTCTCTTTAAATCCCCGGTAAGACTAAGATTGTTTTTTGTACTTTTTTCTCTCTCTTTAAAATATTTCGGAAAGTGTATAACTTCAAATATTATAGAATATTTTGTATTCTGTTTTGTTTGTCCAATAATCCAAGCTCACACAGTATATTCATAGTTAACAGGTAAATGAACGCTTTTACAAAGGACTATCTGGAAATCATTTCTTTTGTATGCCTCTGGGCTAAGTCGACCTTATAATTTCAAATTTAGTTTTTCGGTTTTTTGAAGCCATTGTTTTCTCTTACACTTGGCAATGAGTGTTAAATTTCTCAAATTCAACCTGAGTGTATTTAATGCGAACAGGTATTACAAAAAGAAAAAGATAAATGACAGGACGAAAATACGTGTGCAATCACATCAATTTTTTGAAATAAAGGAAAGAAAAAACCCAAGAACTTATCGAACCCATCCAGTATACACAACGACAAAAGAATGTATATATCACAATAGACTCTTACACCGCATCAGACATTATCCCGAATATCGAATCGATTTTTCTCAGTTTACCTGTTATAAGAAGTTCGTTTTTTTTTTCGTGGAATGTTAACAAAATTCAATGCATATCAACACAAAATTGTCTAGAATTCTGCCGTTTCTTAAGACAGACTTTCAAATGTGAATATTTTTAAATTAAATTTCAGACTGATGTAAATTATATTTTACTAGTGTCTTTCATATAATAATCTAATATGCATTGCACTTTAACATAAAAAAAACGTATGAAGTTATTTTAAAGTTCCGCTTCGTTTGAAACGATAAACTATTTCCAGGCAAAGTTTTCACAAAATCACTATTATAATATTATATATTCAATAAACCTATTCATGCTCTCTCACACTCTCACTCACTCTCTCTCTCTATCTTTCTCCAGAGAGAAAATAATTGACATTGGAAAAACTTGTATAATAAAAGTTCTATCCAACAAAATTTTCATTTGAATCATTTTTTTTAACACATATTCGTGCCACTCACAGCGCAAAGCAAACAACAGACGCAGACATATACGAGTAAACGCTCTCACTCACTCATAATCATCCGCACGGAACATTCTTGCTTGTCTTTGAAATTAAAATTAACAATTTCTATTCGAAATGCGAGAAAATTCAAAATCAAAACCCACCAAATCCCGAAAAAGAATAACATTTAATTATGCTTATATAATAGAAATTTCAATATATACATACACAAAATGGCTGACTGAATTTTTTTGTTTTGTTTTGTTTGTTTTTCTCTATTTGGAGAAGTTGATTGTAGTTATAGTTATGTATCCGTTTATACCATACAAAATCAAAGCTGGCTTCTTCACACTTTGATTTATTCCACGGAAACAAAAATTTTCTTTTTAAACTTTATACAACTTTTTTTCTTCTTCTTTACTCTACAATTTGTTTGTTATAATAAACAATAAAAATATCAATACTAATAGTTAAAGTTTCTTATGTGGATAAAACACAATTTGCTGATCTGTTGTGTTGTTGTTGTTTCTGCTGCTACTGTTGTTTAGTGTATTGTGTGTTGAAAATTAATATTGGTCGATCTGTATGTGGGACGCGCTCTCAGCTGACTGATGTTTGTACACAAAAACCAGCTAAAAAATATTACCATCGAAGCCAACGAAAAACTCGAAACGAAGCAACGCGCAAACACGTAACGCACACAAACAAATCATATGTTGCTGTACATACACACACATAACAGCACAATGCATACAATGCACACAAATACACATCGATTCGTTACAAATTGGTATCGTTGTATTCAAATACTGAACAAAATGCGAAACAACTAGAATAATATTTGGAAATATCTTTGTTTATAAAACTACTCAGAAAAAAAGCATTCGTCTGACTATTTGACATTGCAATAGCAATCGAATTTGGTGGGCATGCATTTTTCTGAAATATATGTGTACGCTTTTAATAAAATTGAGTAATTTTATTAAAAAAAACAATGGATGAAAAGAAGAAAACCAATAATTCTGTTAACCGTTTTGTCGTTCATTTGTATTGTAGCTTCGTTTTGCTTGCAACGAATCATACACACAAACAATCACATAGATGCGCTTGTATTATAGAAGTAAAACAGCTGCGCGAACGCTTGTGTATTATAATGTGTATGTGTACAAACAGCGACCGAAACAAAGCCAAGCAGCGACCAGAATATGACGTCGTACATCACAAGAGAATACGATAACTTATTATTGTGCTATGTTTTGGTACACAAAATATACGGATGTATGTTCGAAAATGTTCGCACTTTTAGACTTTTAACGAACAAAATACATCACTATTATTTGTTTCAGCAAATACACAGTACAGCACTTTCCATTTGAATCGGGTTTGTTTCGTTCGAGTGTGAGATTGCTCGATTTGAATATTTAATCCGAAAAGGACTTTGCAAGGGCAAAACATCAACTAACTATTCGATAATTGAATGTATTCGAACAGTGATGATGATATAATGCATCGAAAGAATATTGTTTCGACTTTTGAAATTTTCATTTATTTTCTTATTTTTCACAGCATAAATCACAAACGTTCGTTGGTGGTCATAATGTGTTGGCAAAAATGCAAAATCATAATTTAGAGTGATTTCAAACGATTTGTTATTTGATTATTTTTTTTTTTTTTGGTTCACATTTTTTTCTCTGTTGATGTCATTGTTTTGTTTGCGATACTAAAAATAAATTACTGATTTTTTTTTTATGGACGCTGAAATTACGTTCTGAACCAACATAAATGTTCAAACATTGAATATACTTTTGAATTCTTAAAATGGGAAAGAAAAGCGAAAAAACAAATATCATTCAACATGGTTTTGCACCCGCATCATCACATATGTTTCAAAATAACACCAACAAACAGCATCGCATAAAAACAATGTTTAAACTTCAACTTGAAAAGCGAGGCTTAGAGAAACGTCTTGTTATATGATTTGCTAGTTTAAAATGGATGGATAAGAACAATGAACAGACATGGGACGATCAAATTTGTTTGAAACATTGGCTCATTTGCGATGCAATGTTCGTGCCAGTATAAAGAGTATGAAGGAAAAAAAATGCAACGTCCAAAGAAATATGATACATTTGGAACAGATATAACATTGTATCGACAAACATACATGGCAGAATGGTTGTGATGAACATGATATGGTTTGTTTTATTTCTTCGTTTTTTTATTTAAATTTAAAAAGAAACGTTGATATAAATATTCAATGTTTACAAACAGGAGAAATTTTAAGTTTGTACTGTTATTTATTACGCTCACGCAACCGTGGAGTAGAATTACGCTATTGGCTGTGTCAAACTCATGTAATGAAGCTTTCGATCATTTCTGACTGTGTTATTTGATGAATTGAGGCTGAAGATTTAATTGCATGTTATTCCAACAAAACTCTAAACAGAATCGACAATCAAGTCAAGGGGTTATCCACCAAACTAGAAAAATACTAGTAAAGACTAGCACAAAATGGAGCCAACTTTAAACTAGTGTGGGTACAATTTGTAGATCAAACTACCAAGAGTCACAACTCTAAATAGTACTAGAAAAACTAGCAAAGCCAGATTGGTCGATAGTCCCATAGTTCAAGCTTTGAAAATTACCGTAATACTGGGGAGTTTAGCTGTCAAAAATCTCAATAGATGCGACATGACAATAAAAATAAACTGAATGTTGTAAAGTTTTAAAAAGACACGGTCCTTCAACTTTTCTGAAACCATCAACTTGGCCACTTTCATTCGATGTACAGTTGTACACATTCGTTTACTATATTTTACATTTTGTTGTTTGAGAGAGAAAGAGAGATTGAGCGATGGTCGATTTCGTAAATTAAATGCGTTCATGTATACATGAGTTTTTTTTTTTTGAATTCTACTACAACCTAAAGGAAGAAAATGTATTACACACAATAAAAACCGAAGAGTGATCCGAAAAAATTTACAAATAAAAACATGTTAATGCTTGTTTTTTTATTCATTCGCAACTAACAAATATATATATACTCTATATACACTAAATTATGATTGGAATATGACGAAATTCCATTAAAATTCAATAATTGATCGTGTATTGTGGTGTGTTTTTTCTTCACTTTTTCATTGTAATATCAATTGATCGATTTTATGAATTTTACAAGAATACAACAAAAAATACTTTATAATAACAAATTGCATTATATTCCAAATGGCAATGCATATAAAAAACCAAATCGGTTTCGATTCAAACGATGGTGAATATATATATTGTCAGAGTGAGCAAAGGCAAATGTGTTGCCAAATAACAAAAAAAGCGATCAAAAGAATGAGAGAAATTAACGTACGGTAGATGATGAAGCAAATAAAATATTGAACATTCGCGAGCACACGAGCGTTATATTGTGACCACAAAACGTGAAAATGACCTGAGTGACCAAACGAGAAATTTAAATAGACTTTGTTAAAATGAAGTTAACAAATGTCATAGACTTTGAGATATATATACAACCATATTACAAAAATCACTTTGGTACATCTGCGTTGTGATGTTTTGCTATTTGTTGTGCCATTCGTTTCACACACAGAGAGAGACACAGACACACACTCTATCTATCTCTCGAGGAGCGAAGCGTGCTATATTGGTTTATAATATCGACATACATATTTTCTAGTATAAATTTTCATTTTTATGGCGTTTCGATTATAACATTCGTTGAACGCGTGATCATTTGGATACACTCGCTCGAACATGTCAATTTTGGCCGAAGAGTTGGCAAAACCAAGCTGATCATCGCATATTAGTGCGATCAATACGATCTACATGATTCACATATAATTTCAGTTGTTGTTTTATTCTTCTGATTTTTTTTTTCATCATTTTACTTTGCTTTTATTTCGGTTGTGTGCTTGCGAGGCTTGAATTCATAATAAATATGCGATTTGTTTATCTCGTTGTGTTGTTTGCTCATATTTTTTTTTCCTTTGTTCTTAGCAAGACGAATAAGCGTTTGTTTCGTCGACTTGAATATCCATGCACAAGCACAACGAAATAAAAAAAAAATCATCGACATCATATGATGTAGTTCAAATGTGGGCAATGTACGTAATACGCGTACAGTGTACTGTGTGAGTACAGTTATATCTTGGTTTGAACAGCATCGAGAGCACAAATAAGCCAAACAAACACATTCGAATGACGAAAAAACAGAAACACATAGCCGCTCGGTATAAACAATACCAATACCAGTGGTTGATATTGTAGCGAGAAGTTTTTTGATGGAAAACACAACTGGCAACAACAATTGCAAAAACTCGTGTAATTTAAATATCAACAGTTGAATTCAATAAAGAGAAGAGAAAAAAGTGCATTGGTTCGCGCACGCCTCAAGCCCATTGAATCGACAAAGAAAACAGTCATTTATACTTTCTAAAAGTAATGTTATTTGTTGGTTGGCCGTGCTGTGCCGTGCAATGTTTTCAGCTTTTTTTCCTCATTCTATTTGCATTTTCATTTGATACATATATATATATATATTTATCTAACGTCAATGCTCGAGAGTCGCGGATACAATCATTTAAATGCCCTTTTAATTTTATAGTTTACTTCTCTTGCTATATTTTCTCCCAGCCCATTGCATCTTCACTATGCGCGTTATATTTACTTTTTTTAAACAAACTCAAATGAAAAACGCATTGTAAGCCATAACTTCACCCATATATACGAAACAAAAACAAACCCAAATCTCATATAATTTTACTATTCAAAGATTTCATGAATAATTTGAATTCATTGCAATCAATTAGCGCTTTGCAGTGATCGTGTTGTTGTCATCGTTACTGGTACATCATCGAAATAGAAGTCATTTGCTTTCAATAACCCAAGAAATGTGTCAAAACATTTTGGTCATGAATTCCGATGAACTAAGTCGCCCAAGTCGTCAAAGTACAGAGTAGAAAGAACGCAACACAGTAAAAAAAAGGTATTGTACATATGTATACATGACAAAATATGAAGAGAGAGTTTCGTGTGGCGAAATAAAAACAAAAACTTTACATGTCCATACTTGTTTGAATGGTGAGTCTTAAAATGATTTTTGTTCCGTATTTTATGTTGTATTGTGTTGTGTTTGCATTGTGCGTTGAAATTATGCAAATGGTCACAATGTAAAAAAAGGGAAACACACAATCTCTATACGCATTTACGCTCGATGGCACGTAACTACGTTTTCTTTTTTTCTCTTGTTCTATTGTGACTTCGAAATGAATTCACTTCATCGTTTGTGCCTCGGTGAATAAATATTCAATTATTAACAAAAAAATTTGATACATTTTAACGTTGCTGCTTTGACCAATTTTCACATGTCCATTTGTTTTATTCACTGGTGAGATCGGGCGTCGGAGTAGAAGTTTAAAGAATTTTTCAATTGCGTTCATATGCACTGTGCAGTATAATGAATGTATTTGCCTACTATTTCTCGGTTTTATAAAAAGACAACGAGAATTTGGATGAGGCCATTGTGTATATGCACTAAAATAATATGAAATATATAAAAATGCGGATATGAGAGATCGATAAAGAAACGCTTCTGGTCAAACATACACA